GCATTTACCTAATTAACTATGCATTTACCTAATTAACGTTTGTGATGTCATCAAGCCAAAAACACATGAAGAGACATTAGCAGGGTTATTTTCCTCTGTGCATGTTTAAACTCTTTGTATTTCATGAAACCCAGCAGGGAAAATTCATACTACATTACCCCATTACATTTAATGTTTTTTTTATTTTAGTTTTTACATATCTATTTGTTTTAGGTTTGGAAAATAGGTGAATGAAATCCCTTTTTCTGTTTTAAGTGAAATATATGCACAGAAAGTGCATAATTTGATTGAAAAATAGTTATTGAGATATACTGTTTATTTTATTAAGCATTTGGTTATATTTTGGGGTTATATTATATAATTTAATTGGGCTTCTTGAATGTCCTGTGTTTAGTTAAGGTCATGTGAACAGTTTTGCTTCAGGGGTGCGCATGGCAGCGCATTAGAAGTTTTAATGGAGTAGGATGAGTAAAAACAGTTTTCTGACCATTAAGGTTATTTGTAAGTTCGACTGTCACTACGGATTTATTAGATGTGATATACCATCTCTTTGTTTTTCTTTTTTTTTGTTGTAATTTGTTGTATTTGTTTTGCCTCAGTTCTTTAGAAGGGTTAACAAGTCAGAAACCTCACGTCCTACCATTTTTATTGTCAGGAAAGAAATGTAGCCACTACAGAAAGACTTGATATTTTCGTAGATTAGTTTATGAAATGAAAATGTGTGTAGTAGAATTAATTTTTGTACACGCCACTTATGAGACTGGCTGTCAGCCACATCGCTTAACATGTTGTTAGGAGGGCAGCATGTTAGAGGGAGAGTGTGTAAGAGAGCTCTGGGCTGAGAGAGGAGGGGCTTTTAGAGTCAACATCACAGACTGAGCGGGACCATGAATGCCAGTTCTGGACTCTCAAACAGGATAGCGGCACATTCTTTTCAGATTCTTCGGTTTAGGGCTTTAAAATTATAGATTTTTTTGCTTGCTTTAAATCTCCTCACTGCTTCTTGTCTCGTTCTGTGACACCCTGTCCTGAATCCGGAGTTGTTTCACTCTTAGTTGACCCTCCTTTTTATTTTTGATCCCAATCTGATGCTGAGCTCTTCCTTCTTCCATGCCTCCTTGTCCCTGTCATCCTCCTTGACTCGCTCCTCTCTCTGCATCATCTATTTCTTTGTGGTGTTACAATGCCAGTCATGGAGGGGCTCTGGGGTCCAGATCTTCGGATGCGGGACTCCGATCCTGGTGTCAGGGTCTGTCCAGACCAGCCTCCCGGTCCACGAATGTGGCCCCCTCCTATTTCTTGTGCTGGGCTGTCGCTGGCCCTGGAGCTTCCAACTCTGATCCGACAGCTCAAAGAGGCTTGGAGAGCTCGCAGGGGAGGACCGCAGGGGCCAGAGAAAGGTGAAGGCAGCTGTTGGGTGGAAGAGGAACAGGAGGAAGTTGGCGAGGTAAAACAGCTGAAGCTGATCAAAGGGAACAGCAGTACACATCTGGAAGGTAAAGAATAAAGCCTGTCGGAAACATGGATCTGATAAACACTGTCTATGACGCATAATGTGTGTCAACTTGTGTTTAAGTAATTTCCCTCTGGGATTATTGAAGTATTTCTGATTCTGAATTAAGTGGGCAGCAGTTAGTGGATACCAAGAGCAGCTTATTGTGACCCATCAATAAATCAGATGTTATGTCTCAAATCTCTCATTTTCTCTCTCTTATACTACTTTAAAAACATATTTTTTGCAGTTTATTAAAATTTTAGATTTAATCTTTAGTTCTTGTTTGGTTTGTGCATGAAATTGAGACCTAGAGCTCCCTCTCCTGCCCCATGCTTGAGTTCAGGTTTGCATTTTCTGAAAACTGCATTGATGTGTGTGAGACAGATTAACCCTGACAAGCGTGCCTCTTGACGCATGTTTTCAAATGACGTAGGTGGATACTCCGAGGCGATCTGACAGCTGAGGAGATGAGCCAATAAATAAAGCTGCAGTATCATATGCTAATCAACATTTATATGCTCAGAAGAATGTGGATGATTAGGTTAAAGTTTATACCTAATCTCATGATGATAAAGAGAAAAAGACAAACAATAAATATTAGATATGACAGTAAACAGCCCCACTGATAGTGACTGTATCTCAGCTGTCAATCAGAAACTATTGCTGATTAATTCTGAAATTCTGATTAATCAGAAATTCCCTTCAGTGACTCATAATATTGAGAATACAGAATTGTCTGCAAATTTTCCCCTTAGATTTAAAGAAGACTCATACACTCACACACGTATATAGTCCTGCAATTAAAGAAGTACAAAAAAGTTTTAGAGTTCCTCTGCAGGATAACTGCAGACTTTTTTGCAGACTTAAAATATCATAAACCTGGAAACAAGGATTGTTTGCAATAAAATTTGGGATCTTGAATATGGATCTTGTTTGATTAACACTTTTTGTTTATATGACCTATTTTACACTACATACAATCTCTGTTAGAACATGTAGGGAAGTTCCAGCTGCTGGAACAGGGGTTGTAACTTCACTACATGTTCTGGAGCAGATCGGACAAAGTAAAGCAGAAAGAACCTGTTGGAGTAGGTTCTAAAAATGTGTCCAGCTAACAAGTTGCAAGTAGAAAAATCAAGTATTTTGAATAAAGGAATGTAGTTTTTGTAGCTAAGGGGAATTTGATATACAGTATCTAGGAGGACACCCTATTTCCCTTTTTTTCCATTCTGTGCTGATCTAAAAAAAAAATATATTAGGTCATAGTTGGATCTAATCTTTTATTGTAAGAACGTAAAGCCATATATGTAGGAATTAGAGATCAACAGATACAGTTTATTTTAATATTGGTCTAATCAGTCTAGCCATTCACCAATATGTTCTGCCGGTTTTTATGAGGGGCTGATATTGCTCTCCCTTCCTCCACTTACAGGATCAAAAATGACATAATACCAAATGTTGCTCATCATTTTAAACAAAACTAACACAAAACAGTTATGGGCGTGCAGGTGGCGCAGGGGTTAGCGCGTACGACCCATGTCTTAGCCCTCGACCGACCTGGGTTCAAATCTGACCTGTGGTCCTTTGCTGCATGTCTCTCCCCCTCTCTCATACCCTCTTTCCTGTCAGTCTACTGTCAAAAAAGAAAAGAAAAAATGAGCCACTAGTGCCGTTAAAGCACAAAATAAAAGACTGTGCAAATTGATAAAAAAAATAGAGTAAAAAACAAAACAGGATCTCGGGGTATGACTGCTAAATTCAGTGAAGACATGCGTTTCAGTCAATATCGAAATAAAAAAATTTATGTCAGTCGGCTGATGTATTGGTCTATCTGTAGTAGGAATGCCTTAAGATTTCCAAAAGCTTTCCATGATGGTTTACTGGAAGTTTTGCTACTATTGACTTGGACGGGGAATGTGACACATTTTCACACAACTTCTCAGATCTACCTACACAATTCCTTGATAACCACCCAAGCTTTTGCTGTTTATCCTACGCATAGTTCCTGGCTGATGGCTGATCCTTGTAATATTTCTACAATATTATCTCATAATGATCTTTCTCATTATAGTGTCTTTTCTGTGTAGTGCACCAATACCCCTTGCACTAAACCTCTCCCACTATGCTATGAGCCGATGTAAATCTTCGCCTAGTTTGTGTTGACCCCTGAATAAGGTAGCGGCCAAAAGACTCATCCAGAAACCAATTTAACCTCATTTCTCAAATGTATGTCCAAAATAGTGTTCATGTTTAGGGCACATTTTCGCTTCTTCAAGCACACTTTCTGATTGACTCGCATTTTCATCGTAAATGACCCAGTTCTTTGCAGCAGGAAAAACAATGACCCAGTTACTACCACGCTAAGGGAAGGGAAAGGCACAGAGAGGGCTGGCGAGACGGATTGGATCAGAATAAGGAAGAGGATGTAAACACAGGAACGATGAGAAAATGGGTTGAAAAGGGACCAGAGAAAAGAGGAGCAAAAGAGAGCAGCTGTTTGTGTAGTTGATCGAGTTTGTCTGCAATCTGGAGGAGTGAACAGTTTCTATGGTGTTAACCAGATAATGTATTTTGTCTTTGTCTTCTCTGCCAATGTTCCAGATGAAGGGAAAGCCGTGCTTCCCCGTTTGCTTCTTTTTGTGCTCTAAGTAGGCCACTTGAAAATAGTGAGTCACTTTTCTGAGTATATGTTCATGTGACTGTGCATAGAAATAGGAAGTGGTGCCATTTTTTTTACTACCCACAAAGTTAAAAAAAAAGTGACGCCTCAATTCTTTCAGAGGCTAAACTTTAATGGCGGGTTCTGGCAAATCCCAGCAGTTGCCACGGTGACAGCAAGCCACTGCCAGCTGCTTTTAGCTGCAGCTCAGAGGTGATGTGAACTGGCAACCTTAGGGGTAAACTACGCTCCAATTCCTGACTGCCGATCTCTAAATTATTTATTATTCCCATAGTTTCCAGACTGGAAAGATTGTGTGTGTGGTGGGGACCTCATTCTGTTTTATCTCATTTGTCCCAGGCCTCTGGGTCTGTAAACTTCTCCTCTTTACTTTAGAATTCTGTCTGTTTTTGTTCCTCATTTCCTTGTTTTATTGAAACACTGACATCAGATAATCAAAGAGCATGTTAGCTTATAAGAGCTGTTGCATAGAAGATTTTTGGTTTTTACATCAGAAATTCACAAAGTTTAAAACAATTGCTTTTAAAATCAACATGCATCACTTTTCTCTTCTTAGAACCCCACTGTTGTTGGATATCAGATATTATTACCTCTTCTTTATTTCTCTGGCCATGTTTTTTACCCCCTCCCATTTCTTATAGCTGATGGAACGCTGAACCCTGTTCATGCTGGTGTGTTGCTGGCAGAGAGACGAGGTTCTTTCCCACCCATTGATCTGCGGATCCTGAAAAGTAAGATTCCTCTTTGACCCCGATATTTTAGAGGGAAATCCTAAATCGAGAGCAGAGACTTTGGTTTTGAGAGAGAGAGAAAAAAAGTTTTATTATGGAAATCCAGCTTTCAGAGAAAATTTCTTCACTGTCTGCAAAAATCAATATTTGAGAGTAAAAAAAATATTTTTGAGAGAGCTTTTTTCCATTGAAAAATCATTTTCCAAATTCCAGTTTAAAAAAAAATATTTTTTATTTATTCTATGACAAAGAATTTTTTTCCCAATACCTTTTCTTTACTCTTAAATAACATCTGTATTTGCTATTGGTTGTAAGATTAGTTATTTCATTTATATTTATTATATATGATGGATGGATGGATGGATGGATGGA